GGATTTCCTAGCTCCAAGTCACCCTTTGAAGAACTGCCTCATTTTGTACTGCTTTATTTTATGTAAAAATAAAGACTATTGTTTAAGAAAAAAATATTATGTTACAGGTACATTAAAAAAAGTTCACAATTTTTTTTGCCATGTTATTTATTTTTAATTGAAGGATAATTGCTTTACAGAATTTTACGGTTTTCTGTCATACATCAACAAGAATCAGCCATAGGTGCACCCATGTCCCCTCCCTTCTCTCTCCCTCTCCATCCCACCCTTCTGGATTGTCACAGAGCCCCTGTTTGAGTTCCCTGAGTAAAAGCAACTCACAATTTTTAAAGAAGATTTATTGACTTATTTTTGGCTGTGCTGAGTCTTTGTTGCTTTCAGGCTTTCTCTAGTTGGGATGAGCAGGCATTTCGGTGGCTTCTCTTATTGTGAAGCATGGGCTCTGGACACATGGGCTTCAGTAGTTGCAGTGCATGAGCTCAGTAACTGGCTCACAGGCTCAGTTGCTCCGCGGCTTACAGGGTCTTCCCGGAGCAGCGATCGAACGCATGTCCCGGGCATTGGCAGGCAGATTCTCAACCACTGGACCACCAGGGAAGACTCAATTCCCAATTTTTAAAGGTTATACTCCGTTTATAGTTATTATAAAATACTGTATACATTCCCTGTGTTTTGTGTATGTGTGTGTGGGGGGGGGAGATTTTTGGGGTGAGATTGACCACACACTGTGTTGTGTGGGATCTTAGTTCCCCAACTAGGAATTGAACCTGTGCCCCCTGCAATGGAAGCACAGAATCCTAACCACTGAACTGCCAGTGGAGTCCGTGTTTCATTGTACAACTTATCCTTATAGCTTATTTTATAGTTTGTACCTCTTAGTCTCCTGCCTCTACATTAACCACCCCCCATTCCCTCTCCCCTCTTGTAAACATATTTGTTCTCTTTATCTGTGAGTCTGTTTCTTTTTTGTTACATTCACTAGTTTGTTACAGTTTTTAGATTTCATGTATAAGTGATACCATACAATATTTTTCTCTGACATTTCACTTAGCACAATACCCTCCGAATTCATCAAAGAGCGGTCTGCCTGTTTTCCTTTACAAGTTTCATGGTCTCTGGTCTTATATTTAAGTCTTTAATGCATTTTTAGTTTATTGTTGTATATAGTGTTGGAGAATGTTCTAATTTCATTGGTTCACTTGTAGCTCTCCAGCTTTCCCAGCACCAGTTATTGAAGAGACTATCTTTTCTCTGCTGTATATTCTTATCTCCCTTGTCATAGATTGATTGACAAAAAGTGCATCAGTTTATTTCTGGGCTCTCTATTCTATTCCATTGATGTATGTGTCAGTTTTTGTACAAGTACCATACTGTTTTGATTACTGTAGCTTTGTAGTTTAGTCTGAAGTCAGGAGAGGCTTGATTCTTCCAGTTTCGCTCTTCTTTCTTAAGATTATTTTAGCTATTCAGGGTCTTTTGTGTTCCCATGCAAATTTTAAGATTGTTTGCTTAAGATTATTTATTCTGTGAAAAATATCATTGGCATTTTATAGGGATTTCTTTGATCTGTAGATTACCTTAGGTAGTATGGCCATTGTAACAATATTAATTCTTCCAGTCCAAGAACACAGTATATCTTTCTATCTGTTTGTGTCATTTTTGATTTCTTTTATCAATGTCTTATAGTTTTCCAAGTACAGGTCTTTTCCTCCCTTAGGCAGATTTATCCCTAGATATCTTAATTCTTTTTAATGTGATGATAAATGAGATTGTTTTCTTAATTTCTCTTTCTGATAGTTCATTGTTAATGTATAGAAAAGGAACAGATTTCTGTATGTAAATTTTGTACCCCACAACTTTACAGAATTCATCAACAAGCTCCCCAGTTCCTCCTTCTCTCCTTCCATTGCACTGCCAGCATTCCCAGGCCCACAACTCGGGGTCACCACCTCAGGACAGGCTCCCTCCTCCCAATGAGGAAGCCGGTACCTTCACAGATCCTCCCTTGGGGGATCAAGGGTGTCTTTGGCCTCTGGGGTCTTTCTACAGGGTGGAGTAGTCCCTCCTCTCCCCTTCCCACTCCACCCAACTCTACCTCACCCATGCTTCCCCAAGCCTTGGGGGGGGGCCCACCCAGATCTTTAGACAAACAAAATCAAGGGGAAAGAGTTAGCAAGAAGGAGGGAGCTCATTACCGGGAATTAAGGAGGAGGAATGCCCTGGGAACTAGGCTGGCAGGAGAGACACTCAGACTCTCTTAAGTACTTGAGTACATGAGATGTTCACTTAGAAGTACACATAGAATGACCCAGACAGAAGCATCAGACAGGGACAGAAACACAGAAAGAGACAGAGACACGGCCAGCCAGGGGCCCAGACCCAGAGCCATAACCAGACAGACTGGGAGAAGGACAGGCACTCCCAGCAACACTGAGAGGCGCACACAGAGACGGCACACACGAAAGCGGAAGCCAAGCTCAGGTTTCAGGGAGGCTGGTGTCAGCGCAAACCCGAGAGCTCCTCCAGAGTGTCCTGTGCGGAGGACTTGCTCAGGATGAAGGCACAGGGGATGAGTTCCAGGGTCTTGATTCTCTAAGTCCACCCTGGAAAATGGATTGAGATACTTTCCTGAAGGAAATAAAGAGATTTCTTTTTAGAACCAGACAGAACTCCTGGTGAGAGGCATAACTTAGAAGGGAGTGGGGGAGGCGGGCCACCTCGCTCCTGCCCCCAGGGATCAAGCTGCTACTGGCTCCTGTCACTGGTCGGCCAGGCCGGCCCCCTTCTCACTCGATGGGAATTTCCATCCAGAGTGTTCCCTGGGCTGCATGATCCTCTGTCCTCTATGCCCGCGGTGACCTCCCTCTCGTGTCTCCCTTCGATTTCTCCCAAAGACTCCTCAAAGTAAGGCACAGCAAGCCATTACCCGGCTCTTCTTCACCACCCCCCGCCACTCAAGAACTTCAGAATTAAGGATGGAATCTGAGGTGGAAGAGGATATTAAATTCAATGACCTTTAAAAAACAGCCTATAGTATCTCTCCACCACCAACCCCCCTCCCTCAGTTCAGCAGGAAAAAATCACCAAGTGACATTTACTGACTAATATCTTCCATACTTCCTCCTCTCAGTGTCTCCCAATTCACAGATGAAGAAACTGAGATTCAGGGAAAGAAGATGACCACCTCAGTACCACACAGCTAGAAACAGGCCAGGCTGGGTCTGAACAGGAAGCCGGGTCTGACTACTTGTTCACCACTGGGCCAGAGGCCTCCCACCACCCCCTGGGCTGACTGGTCAGGGTCAACTACAGATTTTGAGAGGAAGCGAGGACAAAGGACATGGGAAAGTCCTTGGAGGACAGCAGGGTGGGGGGTACCTGTGGGGCTGGAATAAATCTCTGGAGCCCTCATTCTCCTCCTGCCCTTCCTCCCCTGGGGCTTGAGAAGGGACACTCCCTCTGGCTCAGATCCCTTCAACATTCCAGACACGCCTCTTGGGAGTTGGGGACAATGAGTGGGTGGAGACTTAAGACCTGAACTGCCTTCTCCCACCCCTACCAGCCCAGGGTCCAGGCTGTGTGACCATGCATTTGCCGCTCACTCTCTCTGAGCCATGTTCTCTTCATCTGTGAAGGAGCTGGCAAGCAAGAGTTGGCTTATTTAAAATCCACAGTTCTCCTCCAGACCGAGGGATCCTCTGGCTCTCCGTGCAGTTAACTTGGCAGGAGAGCTCGGGTTGGGGCTGCCTTCCCTTTTTATTCCCAGTGAAATGTGAGGACTTCCCCGTAGCTCAAGGGCTTCCCTTGTGGCTCAGCTGGTAAAGAATCTGCTGGCAATGCTGGAGACCAGGGTTCATCCCCTGGGTCAGGAAGGTCCTCTGGAGAAGGGAATGGCAACCCACTCCAATATTCTTGCTTGGAGAATCCCATGGACAGAGGAGCCTGGCCGGTTACAGCCCAGAGGGTCTCAAAGAGTTGGACAAGGCTGAAGCGACTTAGCATGCACGCTCGCACACAGTAAGGAAGGAAGAGGAGGTGAGAAGGGGCACAGGATCTCCCAACAGAACCTCTCAGGCCCAAATGTGGCGAGGCTTTTGCTTCTCTAGGCAAAGTCAGGGTGTCATAGTCAGTCCAACCCCTGCCTTACAGGACACGGGGGTGCCTCAAACTGAAGAACTGAAGCCAGCAGGAGGAATGAGTGCAGCTGTGGTCTCTGGGTTCAGACAGCTGACTGTAGAAATGGAGGAGTGGGTAAGGGCAGGGATGACTTCCTGGAGGAGGTCTTGGAGCAGATCAGGAGGGCTTTAGTGACTGGTCAGTGAGGTAGGAAGACACAGGTGTGCACAGAATAGTCCTGAGTGGATGGAGCATTGTGAGGGGAGGGGTGGGGACCAAGGCCAGGTCCTGGGTGGAGTGGCGGTGGGGGCTGAATGCAGGATGGAGAGATTTCAATTGTCTCCAGGTGGCGGGGAGAGCCATGGAATGAGGCCCACTTCCAGCAGGGCTTTCAGAAAGATCCCTCTGGCAGCTATATGGCCTGACTGATCCAGACTGGAGTCAGGTAAACTGCTACTAAAGGGGCTGTGGCCAAGGTCTGGTTGTAGGTGATAAAGCCCAAACAACTGCGAGGCGTCAAAGGCAACAGTAGGTTCCCAGTATGATTGGTCTCTTCCACCAACAGGGAGGTCACTACTTCCTGGAGAGCAGTCCTCTCCTTTGGGAGGAAGTTCCTACCCCCAGCCAGGCTTCAGTCTGCCTTCCCGGGGTAGTGGGTGGGCACAGGGCTCGGGAAGGAGACGTGATTCACCAGCTGGGGGTTCCCGGGAGGATGGAAGCTTGGAGGAAGGTGTGGGACCACCAAGTTCAAGCTGAGATCTGACCCGTGTGACTGACCTCTGCCCCCAGGACAGGTTCGAACACAACCCTCAGGGTGCCCTGTTATCTGCGGCCAGACTCACTGAAGCTCTGTGGCGCCAGAAAAACAGCAGAGCAAGCAGAGAGCTATTTACACAATTGGCATACATTTTATTGTTTTTTTATAAAAGGCAAAAATACATGTGTTGAGTGGAGGATTAAAGGAGGGCAGACCCTGGGATCTCCCAATCCCATCCCTAAAACTGTAACATCTACTACATATATGTATTAATACACATATATTAATATATATATATTTTTAAGAGCAAACGTGAAATTATGACCCGGACTTCACCCCTGCCCTGGTCCCCTCATGCCTCCATTGTGACATGAACACATCACTCTGCTGCTCCTTATTTATGAATAGACAGAGCTCCACAACTGGGCTATGGCCCCCTCCTCCTAGCCCTACTTATATTCCTACCCTACTGAAGCCTATAACAGCCCCCTGCATAGAAGGGCAGACACGCACATACTGAGAAATGCCTGTACCTGGACCCCCCTCCACATGGAGCCCCTGAAACGTGCTTTTCTCATTCACAGACAGACACCGCACCTTCCCCTCTCTTCCTCTGGACCCCCACCCCAACCCCACCGACAGAATCTTTTCCACTCGGTCCTTTGCCCTGAATATCTGGAAAACCACGCACACACACCTGCACTCACACTCACACACCGGCTACCTACTGTCTCCCTCTGGGAGATGAAGGGCTAGATCGGCCGGGCTCCCTGTGCCACCACAGCTTACAGGCTGAGGGTCCTACTGGGTCCTATTTCCTCCAGGATGGAAAAGCCTGAAGGGGGCTGTCTAGTGGGAGGTGGTGGACAAGACGCTTCCTAGCCCAGGAGGGGAGTCATGAAGAGGGCTTCTGGGGAGCAGCCCCTGCACAGTCAATGGACGCTCATGAGAGGACACGGGGGTGCCCCCGCCCATTCACATCTGCTCCTTGTGCTTCACGTGAGACAACTTCACATTCTCCTCGTCGGTGGAGGGTGGGGGCGGCTCCAGGTGGCAGCCGATCATGAGCTGGTACACGAAGACACCCGCGATGGAACCCAGGAGCGGAGAGACAATGGGCACCCACCACCAGTGGCGGCCCGTCCTATGGGCAGACAGATGTGGTCAGGGGTGGGTGAGGCAGGCCAAAGTGGGGAATGGGCTGGGGCACGCGGGTGGGGACTGCACTCACGTGAAGACTTCCGAGCCCCAGCCGGCGATGGCGGTGAAAAGGCGGGGGCCGAAGTCCCGGGCGGGGTTGACAGCGTAGCCAGAGTTGAAGCCCATGGAGGTGCCAATGACCAAGACCACCAGGCCCACGGTGAAGGCCTCCAGGCCTCGGGGGACAGGGTTGTTGTAGGGGTCCACAATGGCCAGCACACACACGATGAGGGAGGCCGTGCCAATGAACTGGGGAGTGGGGAGAACAGTGTGAGGACAGCCCCCACCTTCCACCCTCTGGCTTCCTCCAACAGTCTTGGCATCTCCAGGGTTCTGCTCCTCAGGGCAGTGGTGCTAAGATTTCTGCTGGCTAAACTAGCAGAGTCCTAGGAGTCTGCTCTAGACAAGGAGTCCTGTTCCCCAGCCAGCCCACGAGCAACCCAAGCCCCTCACCCATTCCCAGTCCGTACCTGGTCGAAGAAGCCATTGACCATGTCCAAGTGTCCAGAGGGGTAGGTGGCAAAGATGCCAGCTGTGCCATTGGGGCCCGAAACAAAAAGCTGGTTGTCGGCAAAGGCCCAGATCGCATCTGGTGACAGTTTAGATACCGCATGCATGAGAGAAAGGCCTGAGGCCCGTCTTCCCCGTCAAGCTGTGCCCACCCTCCCAGGGGTCGCAGGTGAGCGTAATCACTGCTTTATCACTCTGGAGACACGGTGGGAAGATGGAGGGTGGAGGGCTTGACTCCACCGTTGCCCAGCTCATTTCTTTCCTCTCGCGGCCCCCACCTGGGGCCCATGCGTGAATGAGTCATAAGCCTGGGGCCTGGGCAGCTCCCTGGTATTCATCATGGAAAGGCCTGGTGCCAGTAGGTCAGTCCTAAGCAGAGGGAGGAGGTCGTGGAGGAAAGCAGGGTGGGGATGCTCACCGTAATACAACCCGAAGATAATGCCAGCGCCCAGGAAGGCTCCCAGAGTCTGAGCCAAGGTGTACACAGGCAGCTTGATCCAGGGCTCACGCGCCAGGAAGCACATCGCAAAGGTCACAGCAGGGTTCAGGTGGGCCCCTGGGCAGAGGGAGATGGGACCTATTAGCCCCCGCCTGCCACAGTGGGGAGCCAGGGTCTCCCCCTCCCACACTCCCCCTCTTCGGCTCTGGTGAACAGGGATGCAGAGAAGGGTTTATTGCACAGAATGGCGGGTTGGACTGTGTAACAGACCCACTCTGCTTGTCTGTGATTCCAAGGTGAGAGACAAAGTTTTCCTTCGTCACTCTTCTCTTTCAAGGGCCCAAAGCTAGGACATGGCTATGCCCTGCCCTGTGAAGAACCCCCCCGACCACACCCCATTCCCCAGTGGGACACCATGTGGGGTTGCTGGAAGGCTGATGGCTGAGGGTGGGGACAAGGCCTTACCAGAGACCTGGCCAGCAATAAGGATGCCTAGGGTGACGGCAAAGCCAAAGGCCAGGTTGATGGTGAGGAAACCACCGTGGGTGCCCCGGCTGAGCACGACCTGGGCCACAGAGCCACAGCCAAACATCTGTGTCGGGAAACAGAGCAAAGCGGGAGAGTGAGAACCAGTGACTCTCACTCCAGAGGAAAGGTGAAGCCAGCCACCTCCCCCTGCCTTCCTGCAGAGACAGAAGCCCTTTCCTGGAATCAAACCCCTCCCCTCCTGCTGCAGTCATAAGACAGGCCCTCCCAGCCCCAGGGTCCCAACTCCACTCTAACAGGGTCCGGTGGAAGGGACTGGAAGCAGAGTTTGCAACTGTGAGCCCAGAAGGTAGTGGCACCATCTCCATTGATTTGTCTCAATTCTCAATGAGAGCCAGAGGAAGGGGACACTCTCGCCCGAGCAGTTCCTCCCCCAGCCTTTCAGGCCCGGTCCTAGGGATGGGAAGGTTCTCACTCATCCCCACCTGCAGCTGCCTTTCTCTCTGCCCCAAAGAAGAGTTGACAGGGAGAGCGCATGGAGAAAGAGCAGAGGCCAGAAGTTAGGCTGAACCCACTTCTCCTTAATCTGGGGTGTCAGAGCCCCTGGCCTCCCTCTCGGAACCCTCAGCTTCCCCGACATGTCCCTGACCCAGAGCCTCCTGTCTCCCCTCACCTTGACCTCCCTACCCTCAGGGGGCCCAGGTTCCCCACTCAGATTTGGAGGTCCTAAAGACAGAGGTCTCTGTGACCTCTCACTAGCCAATCTGGGACCCTCAGGCCAGTGGAAGTGGGGAGATTGGTTCTAAACTTTCTGCCAGAAATGGGAGGATTCAAGAGGCTAAAGTCCCCGATGTCCTGCAAGTACAGAGTGTGCTGTATGTCAGTTCCCCTTGTTCAGATGTGAAAACACTCCTGTGTATGCTTGCTAAGTCACTCAGTCGTGTCCAACTCTTTGCGACCCCATGGACCATAACCCGCCAGGTTCCTCTGTCCATGGGATTCTTCAGGTAAGAATACTGGAGTGGGTTGCCATGCCCTCCTCCAGGGCATCTTCTCGATCCAGGGATCGAACCCGTGTCTCCAGCCACTCCTGCATTGGCAGGCAGATTCTTTACTGCTAAGTCGCCGGGAAGCCCCCAGAACGCTCCTGCGCTAGCTGTAAAGAGCTATTACTCTGAGCTCCCAGGGTGCCCCCCAAAGCTGCTCCAGCCCTGCCCCAGCTCTCCTTTCCCATCTCCCCATAACTAAATTCTGAGGCCTATTCAGCAGAAATTTTACAAGACCTGTGCTCAGGGCCCTCGTTCATTCTGTTGGCTCAGTGTCCTGCTGCACGGGGTGGTTATGAATTCTAGTTATCACCCTTCAGGAGGACCAAGAGATAGGAAACCTGAGGCAGCAACAGGGCAAAGGTGTGCAGGCAGGTGAGAGCAAAGATCAGAGATTAGAAGTATCTGTGTGTGTGCTGAAACAGGCATGTGAGGGTCTGGGGCACCCTGCCCAGCTTGGCAGGCCTTGGCCTCAGCTCCTTGCCTACCCAAGGCACAAACCTGGCTCCATCCCAAGAGGCCTTGAAGGGAGAAGCTGTCAGAGCCAGTTCCACCACCTTGAGACTAATCTTCCTCTTCCTCCTGCCTCCTTCTCCCTCTCCTCACCTTACTAGATACCCCAGAGAAAGGGGCTTCCCCAGCCTTAAAGCCAGCCCTGATTCTGACACTGCAGGTCCCCAACCCCCAGAGGGGTGCAGGCAAGCCCTCACCCACCACTCGGGAGTCTTCCTGGCCTGGCCCCTCCTCTTCAGGCACTGATACCCAATGCCTCTCAACCACCTGAGCCTGAAAGCCTTCACAAACATAACACCCTCCTTCTGTGGCCAGGGGTAAGCCAAGTGATCCTGGGGCTCAGCGGGAGGCCCGACTGCTCCTTTGGGGGAAGGCAAGCTGAGACTTAGGGAGGAGTTAGGGAGGCCCCTCTGTGAAGGGAAGACAATGTCCCTGTCCTGGCTGCTCTCCAACAGGGGACTGGACCGTCAGTCAGATGGGGAGAGGGGACACAAAGCCCTGGGCAGGGTGATGATAAGCACCTGTCCTAGTCCCTTCCTGGGAGAGAAGAGATACGGATGACCAGAAGGACCACTAGTCTTGGGGGGTTGTGGATAAACAGCCCCACCTGGCTTCCCTGTTTCCTGGTCCCAGAAGCCAGCAGTGAGTCCCAGCTCTCCTCTCACCATAGAACCTGCTCCACCACCACCCATAGTAGGGAGCCACCTGGCTCTCCTTGCCCCGAGTTAATCTCACTAGTCCCCAGGGGACTGGCTGGACTACCTTACCTAGGGCTGGAATTGGGGCACAGAGTACCCTACCCCCTGCAATGGAGCAGCTGAAACCAGAAGTAACCAAGAGGGAAACAGGTGTAACCACAAGCGTGGCTGAAAATCTGAGACTAACTGGGACAGGAAACGGAGCCCAAACCTGATCGGTCTGCCAGGTCCAAGAAGTACAAACAGAGTCACCCAGAAGCAACCCGGACGGAAACTGGCATGACCATAGAGTCACTGGGACTGCGAAGGAACCCGGCGAATAACTCAGATCCTGGAGACCCATGCACGCCAGTGGGCTTGTGCCCGGAAGCTGACCACATCTGTCTGGGTAACTGTCCGGGAGTCGCCCAGCACTCAGGGACAGACAGTGACTTCACGTCCCTTGTGCCTGGGGCAAAGCTGCCTTCCACAGCCTCCTATCTTCAGGATCCTCCTTCCTTCCTTGCTTGCTGTGTGCTGCATGGCCTCCGCCCTCTGCCCCCCCTCAAAGCACTGTCCTCACATCAGGGGAACTTTTGGACTTTCTGAGGCTTAATTATTCATTAGGGGCCAGGCACCCAGGACCCAAATAACTCAATAGGGGCCCATTTGCCACTGCCCCCCACCACCGTCCTCTGCCAGGGCTGGGGCTCCAGGAATCTGTGGCAGCCAGCCAGGACTGGAGGTCCCAGACTGCAAAGGTGACCAACGCCCCCAGCCTCTGGGCTGGCCCACTGGTGACAGGGTGAAGCCCAGAGCTGTCATTGGGGTGTAACAGCTGTCATTCTGGCAACAGTCAGAGCTGTCACAGAGGGGGTTAGAGCTCTAAGCAAAGAGGACCCTGGAGGGTGTCAGTGTGGGGGGCTGGGGGTGGTCAGAGCTGAGAGAGGGGTCGAGGCTGTCTTAAACACAGCCCCTCAGTGAACAGAGGGACCGGGGTGGCGGGGCTGGCAAGAGGCTTCTGCGTGTCCCTCCACTCACCACGAGGATGAGGGTCCCCAAGCACTCAGCCAGCGCCTGGCGAAACAGCCGGTAGCGGATGTGCAGCATCTCCCCGCAGCGGTTCACCAGCTCCTTCTGTCGACCCATGGCGGGGGCAGGCGACGGCGCTTCGGGCGGGCAGGCGAAAGGACGGCTGCGGCAGCAGAGTGGCCGCCAGCGCCGGGTGGCGCCCTTTTATAGAGCCGGAGGCACGTGCCCCGCCCGCCAGCCCGCCCGCAACCCCGCCCGCCCCGTCCGCGCCGGCCTCAAGGTGGGCGGCCGCCCCCACGGCTCGCCCGGGGAGGCTGAAGGGGCTGCTGGGTTGTGGGGGAGGCTGGTGAGGAAGGCAGAGGTGCGGGGTGGGGTGAGGAGCCCTTCGGGCTAGGATTGTCCCCAGGAGAACTGCGGGATGATGGAGGCAGAGAACTGATGGCGGGGATGAAGGCGCGTACAGGACCAGGGCCTCAGGGGAGAAAGGAGCTGCGGAAGAGACCTCCTCGGCCCACTCGCAGCGAGCCTCCCTGCCATCCCCACCACGGGGGGAGTGACAGCAGACTCCCACCGAGTCAGGAAAGGAACTGGCCCCAGCTCATGGGCCTCTCTGGTGGCTCAGACCGTAAAGAATTCCCCTGCAGTGCGGGAGACCTGGGTTCGATTCATGGGTTGGGCAGATTCCCTGGAGGAGGGCATGGCAACCCACTCCAGTATTCTTGCCTGGAGAATCCCATAGACAGAGGAGCCTGGCAGGCTACGGCCCATGGGGTTGCAAACAGTCCAGTGGGACTGAGCAACTAAGCACTAAGTCATGGACCGCTCCTGTCTTCAGTTAGGGACCTGGAGGGAGGAGGCTGGGGGTGGGGGTGGGGCCCAAGGGAGAAGAGACCCAGGTGGACACAGTCCAGACCCAGGTGCACTCGCAGAACACATGGGCTGAGTTCTGGCCAGAGCTCAGAGGCCTTGCTCCTTGTCTGGTGAGTACATGCCACATGTTACATGTCTTGACGGCTCTGTTCCCAGCTGTGTCCACACATGGCATCTCCCATCCGCTTGATCACGCTTTTGGGGCATCATGGCTGTGCTCATGGCAGTGGAACATGGCTGGGTTAACAGCGCTTGTCACATGTGTACCTGTGTGCGCATTGCGCACGGGTCCAGGGCCCGAGCTGCAGTTGTCCTGACATGCCGCCAGCCATATACTTGCCAGCAGGTTGAGTTCCAGCTGGTTTTAACCCTCTACTCTCCCACCCAGGCTGATCCCTAGCCAGGGGCAATTCTGTTCCTTTAAGAGATGAAGCAGTCTGAGCTGTGGGGATGTCAGACCATCAGAGGTGGGGGGTCATGGGGCAGTCTCGCTCTCTGTGCCGCATCTAATAACTGGTGAGCTGAGGCCTGGTCGCCTGGACCTGACTCCCACAGGACTGGCAGCAAGTATGCCCTCACCCTGGTCTCTAAGGCAGCTTTGCCGGAGAGACCTCATTTCCCGAAGGGACTTAATCCAGGTGGGCTGAGGACCCTGGGGACTTGCCCTTTGAGCAGCGGCTGTCAGAAATGAGGGCTCCAGAGGTGACTCATGCCCAAAGAGATGGGGTTTAGCAACACACATAGAGTCACACGTGCCGTGCAGGCGTGCTCACTCACTATACCCTGGGGCTGGCAGTCATGTTCGCCTATAGACCCTGAGGTTTCTTCATGCACTCCTGGGATGGCATTCCCATGAGAGCCTGGCCATAGGCTCACACAGATATGTAACCCCCACACGGGAGGTCTCCCAGGGCCCGCGGCCCAGAAAGAAGCACCCCACCCCCTGAGCCTCAAGGGCTGGGAGGCCCCATGGTGAATCAGGGAGCCATCACCCACTGCCTGCCCGCGGCCCCACTGCCCATCCATGACTCAAGACAAAACCCCAGATTCCTGGTGCCAGAACCCAGAGTGTGGAAAGAGGGGAACACCCCCCCCACCACCAGGCCGTCCTCTCTTCTCCCCACTCCCTGGTATGTTTCTCAGCCCCTCGCTGCCCCAGGGGGAGCTGCGCAGGGCAGGAACTGGCAAAGGGGCTCCTCAATGCTTAGAGAAAGTAGGGAACCCCAGCTCACAGCACCCTATCCTCACCCCTGCCTGATCCCAGGCCTGCCAGCAGCCAAGCCCAGCCCAGAAACCAAAGCAGTGGAGGAAAACAGGTGCTCTCAGTGGGCAGAGCACCTTCCGCTCCCCATATACACATGTGTTTGCAGGTGGAGCATTGCCCTCCCCTCATACACAAACTTGTGTTTGCAGATAAAGTACCCTCCCCCCATACACACAAGTGTTGGCAGGTAGAGCACTGCCCCCCCATACACACATGTGTTTGCTGTCAGTTCACATAGGTGTTCACCGTGCTCCACCCTGAGGGAGCAGGTTGTACATATAACTGTAGATTTGTGTATCCTGTAAGTAGTATCTGTTTACACATGTGCACCTGTGTGTACTCACACATGTGTGTTTGTGCTCACCTGTAACTCTGGGCCTGCAGCTCATCGTAGAGCATGTTTGAGACCCCTTTGCCCCTCGTGGTTGCAGCCCCATGCCGAGGCACACGGCTGGGCATGTGGAACAGGACCTGGATCCCAGTGCCCCCTGGTCTCGAATCAGAGTCTCTGGTGGTCTAGTGGTTAAGAATCTGATTGCCAGTGCAGGGGACAAGGGTTCGATTCCTGGTCCAGGAAGGTCCCACATGCCCTGGAGCAACTGAGTCCGTGCACCACAACTGCTGAGCCTGTGCTTTATAGACTGTGCTGGCAACGAGAGAAGCCACTGCAGTGGGAAGCCTGTGCGCGGCAACGAAGAGGAGCCCCTGCTTACGGCAGCTAGAGAAAGCCCATAGGCAGCAACGATGACTCGGAATAGCCATAAATAAATAAGTAATAAATCTTTAAAAAGCCCAGCCTTCAGAATCATGACCCCATATACTCCCACCAAACTTGTTGCTGTCTATAACTAGTTTTTACACACGGGTCCACACACGTGTACGCAGCATGCACACGGGGATGGGTTAGGGTTGGAGCTGAGAAGGTATGGGCAGGCCTTCAAGGTTCTTAGTGGAAGACGTCTTCTTCCTGAGAGGACCCTGCCCAGAGGAGGGAGAAGGATGCAATGCCTTCCAAGGGCCTCTAATTCCCGTCAGCCCTCCTCGGGTCCTCTGGGGATGAGATGGGTCAGGGCGGGAGGATGCTTGTCCAGAAGGCCCCGACTGGCTGGCCTTGAGTTTGAGGGGCAGAAGCTGACCTCATTGCACAAGTGGATGCAGGCAATTTGGGTAGTGGGGGGCTCATTCTCACTGTAGTCTATGAATGGCAGCCCCTGGAGCCAAACAGCTCCTGGAGCTGGGCTCTTGGAGCTCTTCAGGAGGAGCCTGAGCTTGGTGAGGCAGGCCCTGACCCTGAGTCATGCAGCTTACCAGGCCCTCTGGGCTCCTCCTGCTCTTCTGGAAGGAAAGCCAGGCTGAGTACGGGCTGCAAGCCAGCCCACCTGCCCGGGAGCTCCGGGACAAGGCACATGAGGAGGCCCCACCTACCCCCAAGGCATCTTGAGCAAGGTCTGTGTCTCACCTGGGCGGGAGGGCTGAGCCCAGGAAGGGGCCTCCGATCCACCCTGTGGGAGGCTGTGACTCCTTGAGGTCAGAGCTGGGGGAGTGGGTTCCCAGGCAAGGGAAGGGCTGAAGACTCAAGTCCCAGCCTGTTGGACCAGAGGGGCTGGCTAGGGCCCTGTAAGGGGGAGGGCCGGCACGCCCTTCATTTCCTGCCCCCCAAAATCTTTTTGCCTGAAAGGGAGCAGCTTGAACCAACAGGGGAGACATGGGCCTTGGTGTCAGCAAGCAGAGAAGAGTGTAAACATAGAAAATAAATCACGCTACCTTCCCCCACAGCCTCCCTAAACCCCCTAACCTCTTCCCCAGCATTGGAGTGTGGTGAGGGAGGGGCAGACCAAAACAGACATACAGACATTTTTCAAGTATAGGAAGTACTCCCTCCAGTTTGCGAAAACCCCTCAGATGTGGGTATATAATCTCCCCTTCCACAAATGACAAAACTGACATCTGGAGAGAAGTCGCCTGGTGACTCAGACGGTAAAGAATCCACCTGCAGTGTGGGAGACCCAGGTTCCATCCCTGGGTTGGGAAGATCCCCCGGAGAAGGGACTGGCAACCCACTCCAGTATTTCTGCCTGGAGAATCCCATGGACAGACGAATCGGCAGGCTATAGTCCACTGGGGTCACAGAGGGTCAGACACTACCAAAGCGACTTAGCATGCACGCAAACACCTGCTAAGACCTCACTCAGCCGTTAAGTGTTGAGCTGGATACATCCCACAGGGATGTGTAGGAGACAGGAAGAGGGCAGGGAGGCCAGGGAGCCACAGGTCTATCCATGCTTCAGCCCTGCGCCCCTGTCTTAGGCCCCTGCTGGATGCTCTCCCTGCTTCTGAGTCTTGAGAGTGGGGGGCTGGCTCTGGACAGGAATGGGGAGTGAACAGCAGAGATGAATCACCCAATTATGAGTGTCCCCAGACTGGGGGCCGGGCAGGCAGTTCCTTCTCCTGTGCCAACAGTCACCCCCTATCTCCAGACAGATGAGATGGTGGAGAATCCATGAATGTAAACCTCCCTCCCCCTCCCCCCGGGGTACCTCTGGTCAGGTGTCCAGCTGGAACTTGAGAAAATCTATCTCTAGATTTTGACCCATAGTTTCCCTTCTGTTGTCCCTGGGCTGCCCTCAGCACCCCTGAGGACAGCAGACGGTCACAGAGAGGGGGTGGAAGAATGGGATAGGGGCTAGAGCCTATTCTGAGGACAGGCCCAGAGTCCCGGGGCAGGGCTAATGGGGCAAGCCCTCTCACCGACCCAGACGCTCAGCCCCAAGCCTCACTTGACCACTGATCAGTCAGGTGACCCAGCCAGCTCCCTTCCCCCACCCCTCAGTTTCAGGGTCCTCATCAGTCACCTGCAGGTTTCAGGTGGAGTCCTCCGACACACACTCACACCCACACACCCACACTCAGGGCCTCTGTAAGAATCAGACAAGATTACAGATGTTTCAGGCCTTGAAAACTGTAACACAGTCAATGTAGAAGGAAAGATTCGATTCCAGAAGCTCCCTCCTTAATCAGAGTCAGGTTTCCTCCTGTATGCATACCATGTCCATCCATGTGTGTTCTGGGC